GAGGAGAAAGTGTCCAAATACCAAACTAGAGTGTGGGGGCTAGCTTTAGGATTGCAATCTCATGGTTTCTTTTTTTTTTTTTTTTTTTTTTTTTTAGCAAGGCCGAGAAATTCGGGAGCAGGGCAAGGCCTACCAGAGCCACATGCTCGAGTGCGCTAGGGTCCTTTCACTTGTAGCTGGCTGGGGAGACAGGGAGAGATAAAATGAACACAAGGTAAAGCGGCAAGGTGACCTGGATGAAGACAGCCGGATGAGGCCTGGTAGAGGGTATTCTCGTGAAACAGTCCAGCTAGGCACTCCTGGCTTTACCCACTTCTACCCTTTCCTGCCCACTCCCACATACTAGCAGCTCAATGAAACTTCAGTACTAAGAATGGAGAAGCAAGCTGGGCAGTGATAGCACACACCTTTAATCCCAGCACTCACCAGAGGCAGAGGCAGGCGAATTACTGAGTTCAAGGCCAGGTTGGTCCACAGAGCAAGAAACAGGACAGCCGAGAACTCTGTCTTGAAATCCCCACCCCCAGGAGGGGACGGAAAAGGGAAGAGATACTGGATACACAAAGCTTTCTCTCAGACCTTGATCTTCAGTCTGTGCTGCAGCAGAACTTTTCAAATCTGAACTCCCAGCCCTTTTCTTGCCCCTAGGCAAGTTCTTGGGACTCAATTAATCTCCTCCCTTCCTAACCACCCTTCTCTGATCTTTGATGGCACAGCATCCTGCATTAGCACAGGGTGTACCTCTCCCTCTCCCGTTCCTTAGATGGATTCCACGAGTCCCAGGCATGCATTCTATTCAACTCCAGGCAAGTGCCAAGTACTAATGGTCTTCAGAAACATTTGCCATAGTTCTCCAGCCATGTTTGATGTGTGTGTGTGTGTGTGTGTGTGTGTGTGTGTGTGTGTGTCTGTGCGTGCTTGTGTAAGTGTGCGGTGACATTTGTGGACTCAGTTCCACCTTTCCATTTTACATGGGTGTTGGGAGGATGGAGATCAGGTTGTCAGGCCTCAACAGCAGTTTTTTACCACTGAGCTATCTCTGATCCTCAGATTAATGTTCTTAGATACAGGAAATATGAATGATCCTGGCCCCCAGTCAGGAATTCTCCTTAGCACAGTGGAGGCAGTTTGTCCTTATGGGATGATCAACTTGAGTATCTCTCCTTGTTTGTTCTTAGCATTAATGGTACCATTTGCAATTTAAGGTCTAACCTGACCTGAGCTTGGCGGGGAAAATGCCCTGACAGAAGAAACAGCACCCCAGAATGGCTCACACCACCAAATGAGTAAGTCAAGCCATCAAGCATAGCTTTTTGTAATCTCTTCTTTATAAATTGACTTTATCTATTTTTGCAGCTAGCAAAATTATTTAAAAAAAAAACCTCTTACTTTGGAATGGAACAAACTCTGATTTAAAATAGCGGTTATGTCAGGAGGTGGTGGAGCATTACTTTAATTCCCAGCACTCAGGCAGAGGCAGGCGGATCTCTGTGAATTCAAAGGCAGCCTGGTCTAAAAAGTAAGTTTCAGAACAACCAAAGGCTGTTACACCGAGAAACTTAGTCTCAAAAAAACAAAAAACAAAAAACAAAAAAAAAAGAAAGAAAAAGAAAGGGAAAAGCAGTCACCCAGTCATTTGGATACTGAGTAAAAATTGTTTTTTTAATTAGGTAAATCATGTATGGCCTGTGCATTTAAGTAAGGTCAGTGGCATGTTGATTTGTGTATGTCTAGAGAAAAAGGTACTTAAACCACGTGTGGGTTTTTAAAAATTGATATAATTTTAAAAGATCTTCAAAACTACAGAAAGCAAACCTTCATTTAAAAAAAAAGAATCTTTTAACAGAGGACTGGATTAGGGTTAGGGACATTAATTTCATGAACAAGGATATGCTTGTGTTACAGGATTATGAAAATCTATAAGGAGGTGCTGCTTTTCCAAGAAATTCACACTTCAGGCACCTACAGCATGAAGGTGCTGCCCCCTTGTGGGCAGTTTAGAATCGTCATTATTTCAGTTTTTGGTTTGTTTTTCACTTAAAAAAACAAAATCCTACTGGGCGGTGGTGGTGCACACCTTTAATCCCAACACTTTGAGGAGGCAGAGGCAGGTGAATCTCTGAGTTCAAGGTCAACCTGGTCTACAGAGTGAGTTCCAGGAAGACCAAGACTACAGAGAGAAACCCTATCTCGAAAAACCAGAAACCAACATAAAACAAAACAAAAATCCTGGGATCCTCCCCCTCCTCCCTAGGATGAGGGAAGACTTAACTGATTCATTCTTCCATGAACAACAATAAAAACTGGACAATGGGGACAGACTTAGAGGTTCACACCTTTAATCCCAGCACTTGGGAGGCAGAGACAGGCAGATTTCTATAAGTTTGAGGCCAGCCTGGTCTATGTAGTGAGTTCTAGGACAGTCAGTGCCACATAAGGAGACCCTGTCTCAAAAACACCAAAACAAACAAACAAAAACCCAAACAACAAACACACACAAGACAACAGGGTGGGGAGAGTAGAGAAATGGCTCATTGGTTAAGGACACACGCTGCTCTTACAGAGGACCCAGATTATATTCCCAGCACCCACACTAGGGGTTTACAAATATTTGTTACCAAGTCTAGAGGATCTGGTACCCTCTGCTGGACTCCACATGCTTTGTTCTCACATGCACAAACATAAAGCATATACACATTAATATATATGTATATATTATACAGATAATGCAGATTTTAACTGTATTGAGTTGTATAGATATAGGTCTGGTTAATTTTGATGTTTTTATTTATTTACAAAGCTTCTTTAAATAATAGTTTATAAAATTAAAAGTACATAAATAAATAGAAGACCTGGACAGCGAACAAAATCAGAACTTTCTGGTCTCCCATCAGAGAGCTTGTGTACAAAAGAAAACACTTGAAATATGACCAGAGACCTGGAAGAGATTGGGTGCCTTAATACTGGCCAAGCTAGAACACAGCAGAAATGCGGGGCTGTGCCCAGGAGAGTAAGGATTCAAGCTGAAACAAGTCCCTTAAACCCAGGCACAGGGCAACAGTGCACACAACCCCTGTGCCACCCAGGCCAACCTGGTCTACTTGGAGACTTGCAAGGGGTGCTCACTAGACAGATGGGGAGCACGGCGATCAGAAAAGCCCTGCTAGGAGGGGCAAGCATGGGGAGCACCGTGCTTCATGAAACCCAAGTCAGAACAGCAAACCTTAAATCCAGGGCTGAGGTCAGGGAGGGGGTATTTTAAGTTAGAGCCCAGCCTGAACCATAACAGGTTATTGAGGACAAATTATTGAACACTAGAGCGGCAAGCCTTACTGACCCCAGGGTGTTGGGTGCAGAGGCACACATGGGTAGCTCAGAGACTGAACTAGATATGCACAAAACCAATTCTATCTTTAAAATTCTTTTCATTTTCTGTTTAATGATTTTGAAAGCAGGGTCTGGACATGCTAGGTGAGCGCTCTACCGCTGAGCTTGGCGAACTCATTTGTTGGTCTCCAGTGTGCAGCCTTCCAATTGAGCTCTCCTTTCTGAGATGTCTTTATTTGTAGTTTCCTGAGTTTTTCCAATTCTTTGTTCATGTTTTTAAATCCTTTAAACTGTCTTCGGGGCTAGAGAAATGACTCCACAGTTTAGAGCACTGACTGCTTGTCCAGAGGACCAGAGTTTAGTTCCCAGCACCCACGTGGCTACTCACAACCATCAGTTGATAAGCTTTTGGCTCGTGGGCACTGTGTGCACGCATATGATGCACACTTTGCCGACTATTTCCTGTCCCATCAACCTCTTCGTGTCCCTTGCTCAGCGTGGCCCAAATCCCAAGTTACTGTTGTGAGCAGGAACTTGTGAATGAGTTGTGAGAAGTCACATTCAGAGGGACTGGCAAGCTCCATCCTGGTGGCCTACAGCACACAATCTAACTGCCAGGCCTTTCATTGCAAAGTGGCCTTCTGCCTGTCTATGGCACGGAAGTTTTCCTTCATCTCACAGATGGCATCGTCTTGTGACCTATCCTTGCCATTTGGGGACTATAAAGATTGCTTTGGAGATTAGCTGTTAGCGGGGTTGGTGTTATGTAGTGATTTGGAGACTGTGCAAGTGGCATTGCCATTACCTTCTCCCTGTTTTTAAGTTTTCAAATGGGGCCCGTTTTTTCTGCCCCTGTCTGTATCTCCACTGAGACAGATGGGGCCCCTCTACAATACCTGCCCGGCTCCTGCCAACAGAAAACCCACCCTCCCTTTACAGAACACTCCTCATCTTTGCTTGATGTCTCCTCTTCCACGCTGTGAACTGGGAATTTATAGCACACCTAGTTATTTTCTGACATTGAAGAGAGGTAAGTACCTGTTGAGTGTCTGCCCGAGCTGACTTGTTCAGCTCACAGGAACTCAGATGTCATCTTTGGACTAGGTCTTTCCCAAATTCATCCAATTCTTTTTGCCCCTCCCCCAGACCCCCTTTTGAGGATTTTAAGTCTTGGCTTCTGTCATCTGTATCACAAATGCCTTCACCATCCATCCCTCTCCTTCTGGTGGTATAAGATGTGCCTTGGTGTGGCTGGTTTCTTCCAAACCTGCCTCAATCTTTGTAGAAATACATTGATCACAGGCCCTGCAGCTTTGGTACCTCGCACAGGGTTAAGTCAATGCTAAGGGATATTTGGGCCACAACACAGAAAGACATGGAGAAAAATAAGCAGCAGCATTGAGACCTGAGCATTTAACTATTATAATCCAAACAGAGGTCCTCCTACCGCCCTTCCCGTGCCAGCAACATTATTTCAATTTACCCTTAAAGCACAGACAGGGAAGACGGCTGGAAAATCTGTAAGCTGTGAACTAACTATCCATTCTTGGGTATGAGTGACTACAGAGATCTGTGGCTTCCCATTTATTTATTTCCACTTTCCACTCACTACTGATGTTAGAGACTCCTTTAGATTGTTATCAGCGTCAGATGTGCCCAAATTAGCACTGAAATTCCAGAAATGTCAAAGACAGATTTATTCTTCTATTTAGCTTTCCATGAAAATATAAAAAGCTAAGCAAAAGAAAGTCACTAAGTTAATATACAAAATGTATTCCATTTTAAAAATGGCATTGATAGCAATAAATCTATAGAATTGGGGAGGTTTTCCTGTAGGCAGCGGCCCTCAGTGGAATATTGCTCTCTGAGCATGCGCACACTCAGGTTTGTTGAAGAGCTCATCTTCTGTCTCTGGAGTGAGTTGGATGTTATCCTTGACTGGAGACAGGGGCTTCTTACAAGAAGAAAGCTTTTCAGAATCTCTGCAAAAATATAAGAAAACAAACTTGATTTTCAGGTACCAACTGCTAGAGAAGCAACACCCTAAATGGAAAAGCTAGGGGCACATAAACCCTTTACTGTATAATCTGTGTCAATTCATATGGAGCACATCCAAGGTTTTATTCTGAATACTTCCAATATGTTTTGAATTTTTCTTCGAGCCTCTTCTTGCCTTCAGAATCACCTTCCAATGTAGGTGCTAATCTATCAGTAACACACACAGAGTATAGAAGAGGAATCAAGAATGCAACACACACATTTTTTTTTTTTTAAATATAGGGTCTTACTGTGTAGCCCTGGCCGACTTGAACTCAGAGATGCTCCTGTCTCTGCCTCTCAAGTGCTGGATTAAAGGTGGACACTTTAGTAGTCTCTTTATTGCCTTGGACTAAGGATGAATGTGAACAGCACAACTAACAATGAACTGTACCTTTTTTTTTTTTAAACCAAACTCCCTTCTGCGGGACTAATACTCCACACCCATTAAAAATCCAATTATGAAAATAATACAGAATATTTTTGTCTCCCCTAAATACATTAAACACCACTAAACTATTTTTTCCCAATAGATCTTTAAGAACACCATCATAAACTGTCAGGTGGTGGTGGCGCACGCCTTTAATCCCAGCACTCAGGAGGCAGAGGCAGGTGGATGTGAGTTTGAGGAAAACCTGGTCTACAGAGTGAGTTCCATGACAGGCTCCAAAGTTACAGAGAAACCCTGTCTTGAAAACCAACAACAAAAACAAAAACAAAAAACAAAACAAACAAAAAAACACCAAAAAAAAAAATGGTTATAACTTTGATTTCTTCTAACACGGGCTCTGAAAGTTCCATGTGCCCTGGAGATGGGTGTTGGTGGAGAATTCCCATAACAGATGATTCTTAGGAGCTTTGTAAGATCAGATTATTTTCATAATATTTGGACTTCCTGTGTTGACATTTGTACCAATAAATGTCAAGGCAGAATCCTGTAAAAGCTGCCAGCAATTCAATGTGGCTGCAGACACCAGGTCACATGCAGCCAGCCGGACCTTTCTGTTCCAGCCACCTCCACCAAGGGTGGTGAAAACAGGCCAACAGCCACAGAGTGCATGCATCCAATGACTGGGCATGGTGGCCCACACTTCTAATCTCAACAGAGGCAGAGGCAGGAGGTTCTCTGTGAGCTGAGACTAGCCTGGTCTACAGAGTGACTTCCAGGGCAGCCAGAGCTACACAATGAGACATAAGTATCTAAAACAGAAAAAGAAGAATGGGAAGCTATTTAAGATGGGCATGATGGCGCATGCCTTTAACTCCAGCATTTGGAAGGCAGAGGCAGGTGGACTTCTGTAAGTTTCAGGCCAGCCTGATGCCCTGCTGAGCCAAGCTCAGGTGTTCAGGCTAGGCTCTCCGGATCTGCCTGTCTCTAGCTCCAACAGCTGGGCTACAGGTCAGGGAGCCACGCCTGGATTTTTAGGTGGATCCTGGGGATTCAGACTTTGTGCTCACAGAACAAGTGTTCTCAACCACTCAGCCAGATCCACAGCCCCAGAATGACGAACTTTCCACAAATATAAATCCGCTGGCACCCTCTTAACATTCGTATGACATCTGCACCATGGGGTGCTTGTGGAGGTCAGGACAACTTACGGAGTTGATTTTCTCTTTCCACCATAAGGACCCTGGTGGGGGGTGGGGGCCGGCACACGACTCAGATCTGCAGGCTTGGGGTGAGCATCTTCAATGAACTATCAACTGCTCTTTTAAGTTTATTTAATGTTAAAAGTTTCCTTTGAGAAAGATTTATTTTATTTTTAATTATATGTATGAGTCTATGCACGTGAGAGCAGCAGCCCACAGAGGCTAGGAAGGATAAACTCCCCTGCCCCAATGCTGTAGTTAGTTACAGGCAGTTGTGAGTTCCTGATGAAAACTACAAAATTAAAAAAAAAAACAAAACTATTTTGTTTTAAAATTTTACATACCAATCCCAGTTCCCGCTCCCTCTCCTCCTCCCATTCCCTCCATTTTTCCCCATCCTACCCCCCCATCCACTCCTCAGAGAGGGTAAGGCACATTGCTTTGAGGAAGGACCAAGACCCTCCCTACTATATCTAGGCTGAGCAAGGTACCCATCCAAAGATATTAGGTTCCCAAAAAGCCAGTACAAGCAGTGGGATAAATCCTGGTGCTACTGTCAGTGGCCCCTCAGTCTGCCCCAGCCATACAACTGTCACCCACATTCAGAGGGCTGGTTCAGTCCTATGCTGGTTCCTTCCCTGTCTAGTTGGAATTAGTGAGCTCCCATTAGCTCAGGTCATCTGCTTCAGTGGGTGTCCCCATCATGGTCTTGACCTCTTTGCTCATATTCTCACTCCTTCCATTCTTCTACTGGATTTTGGGAGCTCAGCCCAGTGCTTCACTGAGGGTCTCTGCCTCTGTTTCCATCAGTTGCTGGGAGAAGGTTCTGTGGTGACATTTAAGATATTCATCATTCTGACCACAAGGCAAGGCCAGTTCGGGCACACTCTCCTCTACTGCTCAGGGTCTTAGCTGGGGTCATCCTCGTGGATTCCTGGGAATTTCTCTAGTGCCAGGATTCTGCAGCAGGTGCTCTGAGCGAAGCCCTCTTCAGGGCTTCTTCAGATCTGCAGAGTATGTAACAGGCATGGTCTATAGCACATGGACCCTCTCTATAGGCACACTCTCACTACAGCACTTCCCTGTGCTGGATGTCAGTGTCAGCCAGAGAGGCACCAGTACACTGCTGAGTTTCTTGTACTTCCCCATGAACCAAGCGTCCTATGGTAGAGTTGGCAGGAGTGGGGACACAGCAAGATAAAGGGGACTTGCTGGCTGCTGCTTAACTCACACAGTGGCAGTCTCATAGGAAGCTTCCTTAGCATTTCCAACACCGTCTTCTGGAACCAGTCATGTCCCTAAGACATGACTGGTGCCCAAATACTGGTTTGTGTGGTCACACTTGTGAGCACTGAGCCAACCAACACAGCTCCCGCCTGCCGCTATTCTCATGCCAGTCCTGAGCAATGGGAAGCAAAGGAGCTTCCGGTCTGGAAAAGTGGCTCCCCGCGGGACTGAGAGCTGAAGGTGAGCAACAGAAACTGATTCCCGTGAAAGCACAAAGAGCTGGGGCGCGGGCTACAGCAGACAACGCTCTGCCCTGCTGCAGAAGCAGAGCCAGGACGCTCACTCACTTTTTAAACCCGAAGTTTTTCCAGAGCTCGCTGATCTTTATCTGCAGCCCCGGCTTGTTCTCGGCATCACGGTGTTTTCTCTTCTGGATGTTTCCTGGCTTCTTGCTCAGGCCACTGACTCGAGCCGGCACCAGGGGCTTGATCTTGGTGGTAGAAAGACAGTCTGTAGAACTAGCCCTACACAGCCCAGGAACCTGGAGAGAAATTAGAATTTAGAACTGCTGTTATTTTGCTTATTAGAGATGGGAGTGTAGGTCTCCCCAAATGCTAGTTTTAACCTTCTGTTCTAAAAGACCCTAAGTGTTCTTTCTATACCAGAACAGGAGAAGACTCCACATGCAATGCAGACTTCTAAAGACGTCTACTACAGGAACAACCAGTTATGCAACAGGCAACACGCCTGGCATAAAACTTAAGTTAAAAAGCGAGTCTTACTCCCTCCCTCGCGAAGGGCTGCTGGGTTCGGTGCAGCCACTAAGTGAGCTACACACAGAAAAGTGTGAGGTATTATTTTGTCTTCCTTGAGTCCACATAATGATACGTCTTGGCGAGTCTTGCATTTCAACATGAAACGGAACTATATTTTGATTAAGTCTGTCTGCTCTACTGTGTGAAGGTAGCACACACAATCAACTTAAATCTCTTGATAACTTTGTTTCTATTCAAGAGCTGATTTTTTTTTCCTTGTTTGAGACAAGGTCTCTCCCTATAGTCCTGGCTGTCCTGGAATTCACAGAGCTTCTCCTGCCTCTGCCTCCCACAAGCTTGCGCCACCACACCCAGCCTTTATTTTTTTTTATTTTTTTAATTTTTTTATTTTTTTATTTTTCGAGACAGGGTTTCTCTGTGGCTTTGGAGCCTGTCCTGGAACTAGCTCTTGTAGACCAGGCTGGCCTCGAACTCACAAAGATCCACCTGCCTCTGCCTCCCGAGTGCTGGGATTAAAGGCGTGCGCCACCACCGCCCGGCCACACCCAGCCTTTAAGGGTAGATTTTTTTTCTTTTTTGTGAGCACAGTAACTGGTTCTTAGGAGAGAGAGGGCTGTGTGTGAATAAGTCTTTAAACTTAGTTAATCTGGCAGAGTGTACATAAAAGTCAAAAAAATTAAACAAACAAACAAACAAAAAAAAACCCCAGAGCTCTGCCTGTCCACAGTGTTTAGTATGTGAGAGCTGAAGCTACATTTCAAGTTTTAATTACTATGCCTAAGAGATCGGAAACAAAAATGCCTCTGAGCTGCAAGCCCCTGTCCAAGGACAGACAGTTCCAGAAATGCTGGAGACCACTGTTTAAGGGAGATAACAAGCAATGTTTTCACTCCCCTGGACAAGTTTGTTTGATCTTCACCAGAGGTGTTTGGCGGGAGGTAATAGGTAGGAAAGACATTGAGTATGCATACCCTCTGATGGGAAATGAATTATGGGTTTTTAATTCATTTTAAGGCCTTGCAAAACTTGATTCTGGACCATTTTCTGGAGATCTAGAGAACGACCTGGCCAGAGCCCATCCGCTTAGCCAGTATTTAACTAAAGTTTGCTTCAAGTTTGGCCTTAAATTGTGGTCTTCTTCTCAATTGGTGGGATTAACATATATTTTGGCAATACACAGCAAATAATTCTCACAAATTAATTAAAAACTTTAGGGTAAACAATTATAAATTGGGTTATGTAATATATGTAGAAATACTGATTACTATGTACATGGAAAAGGATCTTTCAGAAACAGAGAAAAGAGGTTCCAACTAACACATTAGGCATCCACAGCTAAGCACAAATAGTATCTAAAGAAGTCTGAAAGCGAGCATTTTTTAAAAAAGCAGAATACTGGTAGTTTAATTTTCAGTGTTTTGTGTGTATATTTCTCATTTTCTGGCAATAATTACACACTGTTTCTGAAATTTAAAAAAAATCTAAATACTTACCTTGTTCCTTACAAGTGTGTCTTTCCTTGAAAAGGGAGGCGACTGTTGCTTGGAGTTCTCATTGCCTTGGTTATCCAGTGACGGATTGTGACAGTCCGATTCCTAGAGTCCCCAGATGGAAGACAAAAATTTACTGGAGTGTTTTCTAGTTTGTTTGTTTGTTTTTCGAGAGAGGGTTTCTCTGTGTAAGGGCCATGGCTGTCCTAGAACTCTCTTTGTAAGCCAGGCTGGCCACCTGCCTCTGCTTCCCAAGTGCTGGGATTAAAGTAACGGTATGAGCCACCATACCTGGCTTACTTGAGTTTTTATGATAACTTGACCAATATTTAATTAACCAATTATATGAAATGAAAAACTTGGATAAATAACACAATTTCATCAAAGACATAAAAACACAGGAAACAATGAAGACGGGAAAAATATATCAGTTTCACTGAAGAAAACACCAAAATGTTTTAGCTGAAGAGATATTCTACTAAATACATGCTTATGATTTTGAAAGCTTTACCAGTCACTTCAGGAGCTGTCAAATGCTGACACACAAAGTGCTGATCAGATGGTGCTTAGCCCGAAGTGGGACATCTTTCTCAGCCCCCACACCCTGCCAAAGGCCAGGGACATCTTAGAAAGAGCAGGAGGAGGGGAGAGGTGCTGTGAAATGCTGTCCTCTGGAAATGGCATGACTACCACACATGTGCCCACACAGCTGTGCAAAGCCAACACCACACACATGTATCCACGCAGCTGTGCAAAGCCAACACCACACATATGTATCCACATAGCTGTGTAAAGCCAAGGCAGCTGAAATTCCCATATAGCTGGTTGAAGTGACCTCAAGGCCCTACCCTCCCTCTACTGAGAAGCTACTGACAGGTGATAGCTACGCGTAGTGGGGAAGAATTAACCTTCTTTGGGGCTGTGATAACTATAGGGTTCCCCATGCCCCTCACCTATGCACACACGGGCAGCACTAATTGTACTTAATGTTTTTTGGGGGGTACCAAAAAAACGGACATGAAGTTAGGAGTGCTGGAGTGGGATAGAGGGAGGGATACAGAGGGAAGGGTCTATCTGATCCTATTACACACCTATACACTGTAGGTGTGTATGAAACGCTCCAAATATGCCAATTCAGAAACTGCTGGAGTCTCCTGCTGTGACGGGATTCACTCTTATCTGGCCATAGTTCCAAGTCAGATTCCAGAAACAGCAGCTATCTCTTAGCTGTGCTGTAAAATGGTCAGCATTTACAACAAAAAGAAAAAAAAGAAAAAGAAAAAGCGCATCCTCCTCAGCAGTGATTCTGAGTCCTGTCGCGGCCTTGGCTCCACTAAATGAGGCTCGCCGTACGGTGAGCTTATTCCCATGCGTCAATAGGAAGGCCAGGAATGAAGACGGCACTTGGCATTTCTAAGGTTTCCTGTACCCCTCTTGAGATCCTATACTGTATCATGCACTCAACAGTGGGACAGGACTGCCTGATTCTTACAGTAGACCTTCACATTTCTCTGCTGAAGCTAATGGTGTGGTGCAAGGGAGCAATCTGGCTAATTTCTTTCCTTTTCCTTTTGACAAGGTCTCTTGCTCTATAGCCCTAATGGTCAGGAACTTACTGCACAGACTGAGCTGCCCCAGACTTACACCGACCTCCTCGCTCCTCTTCCTCATTTCTGAGATTAGATGTGTGCTATCACATCCATTTTAAAGGACTTATTTCTCAGACAGGAGGTTGGCATGTAGCCCAGGCTGTGGCCAAATTTGCTACCCTCTAAATTTGAGGTTATAGAGCTGTACCACACCCAGCCTGGCTAAACAATTTCTTACAGTAGGGCCATAGGTAAGACTCTGAAGATTAGACCCTGGTTAGGTGAATGGCTGGATCTAGTTGCTACCTTTTAACAACAAACTTTCACCAAAATGTTCCAGCAGTGAAGCCCTTCAGATGTATACGATGAAAACTGATATTCTAAATAAAACCTAAAAAATAGTGCAACAATCAAAAACCAAACACTCAACGCGTTGTGGCTTGGAAACATTTATAAATCAAAGAAATATTATGCCTAACTTTTCGAATTTAATTATATTGAGCATTAACCATCTCTCCTAAGAAGTGTTTACCATACGTGGTGGCAAGAGGGCATTCAAGGAATGAGTCACCACTTGCTTCTTAGGAGTTTCTTTCCATTTTTTTTTTTTTTAAGTTTTGTAAAACAGGGTCTTGCTATGCAGCTCAGGCGGGACTCCCTAGTGCCAGGACTGCAGGCATGCACCCTCACACCTGGCTAGGTCCCTATCCCAACACCACCTTAGAGTAGATGTTTATCCCAGAAGACAAAACGCCTCTCAGTATGAGCTGCCCTGCAGCCTGTGAGCTGCGGACCTCAGCATTCATCTGAGAGCTTACAAAGTGAGTGGACAGAAAGACGTGCTGGGGAAGAAAGAGCTCCCTCCTCCAGGAGCCCAACAGGCTTGCATGTCCTCCAGCAGCACTGCTTTTGTGGGAAAGGCTGAGAGCTGGCAATTGTCCTGTAACTCAAGTGGCCCTAAGACAACAGTCCACGGGGTAGAGGCTCACAGGAAATGAAACAGACTTCTAGATGATAGGGCAGTGTTCAACATGGAACAGTTGAAGGCAACACCAGAGAAAGGGAGTTGGTGAGGGGGCTCATTGAGTGGGCAGGACTTGGCAACCCAAGTTCAATCCCTAGAATGTGGTAGAGGAACAAATGGACTGTCCTCTGATCCCTTCTTGTGCATCAGGACATGTGTTACCAGACAGACAGACAGACACATATGTTCATAAGATAAAAAAAAAAATTCAATTTAAAAAGACAAGAAAGGAAATGAAAGGCCGAAGTCTTGAGGGCAGCAATGGCAGTCCTGAAAGCTCCTAAAACAGTGCTCTTAACCACTGAGCTATCTCTCCAGTCCTGGAAACACGGGAGGATTTTGAATAAAAATTAAGAAAGTCAGTTCATTTCTACAATGTTGGCAAAATTTTCTCAACTGTCTGATCAACACACAATTTTTTCCCGCGGTTGAGTCTGAAAGCAAAGATAGCAGACACAGACTCACCTCTGAATCCGAATCCTTACTGGAAGGCTGGGAAAGACTCGAAGCATTTAAACTGTACAGAGAGTCTATGCTTTCCTGAGATCGGGAGGCCCCGCCCACCTCAAGCAAGGGCGGAGACTTAGTACTTGACATCTCACTCTTTGACTGACACGTATCAGTCACGGCACAAGTCTTGGGAACCCAGGTGGAGGACTCGCTCCTTCTTCGGAACTGCTGCAACACAGTGCTTGGAGAGGGACTAGGAGTTCTTGAAAAATCTCTCAGAGTTCCTGACCAACTGAAACAACTTCTTAGTGTCCCCAGAGTAGGCGGGGAAACAGTCCCCATAAATTTGTTGGTTTCGGACTGAGCCTCATCATCAGAAGACACAGTCGCATTGCCTGAGATCTGAGCACTTGGATCCTGAGCCCCATTTATGTCAACCAGCTTCTGAACCTCTGTGCCTGGACTGTCTGATGCTCCAAGGCCCTCTGTGCCTGGACAGTCCGGTGTTCTGAGGCCCTCTGTGCC